TTACCCGAACCCTAACCCCAGCCCTTACCCTAACCCTTACCCTAACCCTAACTCTAACACTTACCCTAACCCTGATCCTAACCATAAACCTAACCCTTACCCTAACCCTAACAGAAATTAATTGTGTAGGCATTTAAATATTTATAAGAACATATGTGCGCTACCAAGGAAACTACTGCCCGCTCTACATCGTACTGCTCACTGGAATCGAAGTAGTTCTTACTCTTCAGACTACGACGCAGCATCGTGGCTTTGAGCGGTTGTCGATCCCAAAACGTGCTCTCTCAACAGATCTCTCAGTTGCTTTTGAGAGATACTGTGGTTTTGCAAAGCACTTGATGCTTTTATCTGTGATAAGTTCACCCGATTTTTATTGACTTCAGCAAAGCTTCTACAAAAATGCGATGCACTCGAAGGACAGTTAGGGAGAGAAAATCCCGCAAACGACGTACTTCCCTGATATTAAATCATTAGGTGATATGTTTGAATGACGCGTAAATGTCTACTTACAGAAGATCTATTAACAACGCATCTATTTTGGTTCTCCGTATGACTTCACTAGTATGCTTAAATGCGGAGAAAAGTATGGAATGTCTGCGCTGGATACGGTATGGCATCTCTCAAGAATGCTGACATGTATTTTTTAGTTTGCAGACGTACGTTATCCTGTGATCTTCATCAAAAGAAATAATTGAATGGGATTCTGCTGAAAATAAATACAGTGGGCATTTCAAATAGTACCAAATTCAGCTTTTAAAAGTTAACTATGGAAACTCACACTTTAAACGACACGTTCATAAGTGAACAACATTGTAAAACATGAGAAATAATTAATATGCAAAACTCTGAAAATCTCATTGATATGTGTCAGAAGCTTTAAGGGAATGTCACGTTTTCTAGCTTTCAGCGTACATGTGTGAAATCTACCTTAAATTTGGGAAAAATAAATTTAAATGCACAACCTTTACCGTGATATTTAAATGAAAATGCACACAGCTACCTGCGAGACCTGGTTAAAGGTAAGTCGACGACTCTGTTGGAGTTTCAGAAACTGCATCGGAAATGCAAAGTATCCCAATAGTGTTTCTTAGGGACACCTTTCAAATTCGGCCTGTCAATTAGTCCCCGCTTCTGGAAACAAAACTGTAAGCCTCAAGAAATTATCAAGCTACTAGGTGCAATAATCTGGTTCCTCCAAAGCACTAATAAAGACACAATATATACGGAAGTGCGCACTACGCCAACCAATGAAAAAAACGCTCCTTGCAGTGCTGTTATATTGAAATCTCTACTACTCATAGGGTAAAATGCAAGTTAGTCGCCTACATCATATACTCCTACCCCCTAGTTCTGTGGTTACTTTTAATTTTTTACTTTTAGTTTAGTTTATTACTTTACTTTCAGGTTTATTCTAGCTTTTAGGCTATTTAGATACCGTTAAAGTGAAATAAACATACTAAAATGACTACTATATATTAAACTAAACTGACAAAGCTAAAATAAACTTACTAAACTAAAACTAAAGTTTCACTTATAAAATAAAGGAAAAGCCAAACTATACTAATACCATTGGTCACATTAGACAGAATTCTGGGGCTAAAAGTATCTAAGGGGAGCAACCCACTTAACTGTTACCCTACTTTGAGGGGTAGTGTTGTGTTTTTACATTTCAGTCTTGGAGTAATCGTCTTAGGATCGATATAATGGATCACTTTTATAATAATGTGTTATCCTATTTATTGCAGTATGATTTAGACGCGAAGAAAATTATTGCTATCCGTTTTCTAACTGCCACTAAGCCGTTGAACTTCAGCGCAATATCTGTTCAAAATAAGGCATTGTTGTCGGTAGATGTCCCACTAAATTCGCTTTTGAATCGCCACCTCATTTTAGCGGAATTAATTCAGCATTCCAGACAACTCTTTCAGGGCCTACTCAGAGCATTCTAAGTATTTTGTCGCTCGTTGAGAGTTAATATCCCCTTTACCACAACTCCCTCTCCACTTGTTCTGATCGAAGCAGCTGATAAAAAGAATAGGAAAGAATCCACCTCAGAGATCATGAAGGAAGCCGGCGAATTAACAAAAGTCAGTGCCAATGTTGCCGAGGCGGCCTCACTCGCCGGTCACATGGGACGCACCACGAATCTGCGTGACAAGTTTGAGAAAGGTGCAGCGCTGGAGCCGAAGGAGGTAAAACGACACAAGGCCAAAGTGCGCTATGCCGGCGTGGATTCGATGAAACACAAGTTCATAGAGGAGGCTCAGAAGGCGACCAAGGCGGCGGACGAGGATGGGCCGCGTAAGCTCAAGGAGATCACCCCACCGCGCGAGGGTGTGGTTGTGGGTACGCTGGAGAGTGAGCCCAAGGCTCGGCCACCCGGCGTAGTGGCCTCAGATGACT